ACTTGTGGCTGCCCACACTGTCTGTCCCAGGGGAGCAGGCAGGGAAAGGTTACCTTGCTTGCCCAGCCACTGCTACTGCTGTCTGGGCAGGCTTACCCTGGAGAAGAGCAGCAGCTTGGCAGCCTTAACCCTTCCCTGCCTCCTATCATGGAACAGACAGCATGGGCTGTCACAAGTAACAGGAGGGGAGAGCCCTGGGAACAGGGTGGGCAGGAGGAAACCCCAAGGGGTAAAGGAGGGTGGAGTCTCAGGGGCAGGAGGGAAGCTCAGAATGGGAGGGGGGGATTCTTACCTTTCAGTCCTCCAGCCCTGCTGGCCTGTAGTGGGACTGCTCCAAACTCAAATTAGCACTAACTCCAGTCAACTTTCATGCAGCTCACACTATAAGGTATAACAAGGCCCTTAGCTAACCTGCCACAATGCACTGGAATAGAAGTGTCCACCTGGGAGTATGGGAATACGTATTTCAGGCTATTCCTTTGTGTATACAAGCATCCTCTTGGAAAGATAGCTATTTCTGCAGATCCATCCCATTCATTATCTGCACTGCACACTCAACTCCTCCCAGCCAATGATGTTCAGATCTGTCAGCAGCTGAGTTATCAGTGTGGGGGGCTCTCAACAGCCAGCTGGACCTGACTGTTGTGTTGTGCAGTGGCTCAAGTTACACACTACTGGTCATGTAGCACTCCTGCCCTGAATGAAATGTACTGCTCTCAGACCCCTTGGATTTGAGTGAGTTTTTGATGCATATACGCTTTCAGGTTCCTGCTTCCAGGAGGAAGGGAGGAATAATGCAGTCTTATGGTTCACCCATACATGAAGTGCCTTTGTCCCCATGGGCTACAGGAGAGGAGAGAACTACTGTATCTACTTTCAGCCCTACAGCAGGGAGGGCTGGAAAACCACTGCTGTGCCTACCTGAGAGAGGGGAGAAGCCACTATCTCCATCCCACCTGTCTATTCCCTTTCAGTACCTTCTACAGACCTTCCACTACTGGCTTCCCAGGAATCTCATTGGCCCTTAGCTACTGCACCCTGATCCTCCTGCTTCACAACCCGCTCCTGCCCCTCTCCACTGAACTCTGCCAACACCAACATACAGTCCTTTGTCCTGTTACCCAGCTGACCTCCCCTTCCTTCCTGAAAGCTCCAAACTAATGAATCCAGGAGTGAAGGGGTTAAGGTGGCAGGAGCACTCTCCCCCCCTTCTGTGGGAAAACAGGGCCCCTTCCCACTTTCCATGGAGTAGGTTTCTTGACGTCAAGCCTATGAATATTGTAAGAAGCTTCAGGATTGTAAGTGCAGTGGGTCTGCTAATGCATAGAAAGCAGGACTGTGTGCTAAGCAGGGAAGCCATTGTAACAGCATTGGGAGAGGAAAGAAAATCTCTCACAGAGAAGAGGCTTTGGGCTGCCTGTGCCTGGCACAAGGGGAATTGCTGCAAAGGGGGAAGCTTCCTGCTGCGCACGCCAGAGGTGCCTGTGGGGAATGTGACATCAGCACTAGGAGCCAGGACTGGGGGAGAGATAAAAACACTCACGCATCCTGAAAGAAGAGCCCAGCTCACCTCCTGAGCAAGCATGTCTGCAAAAGAGAGGCAAAAAAGCAAAGTAACCAAGGACAGCGTCACCCTATTGCCTTGCTTTTATTTTGTGGAGGTGAGTGAAGAGCCTAAGCTTGTCTCCCTTCCATTTTAGCATAATGCAGATGCATTTTAGAAGAACTCATGTTCTTAGCTAGCCTATTTGTTCACTTCCCTATTCCTGTATTAATCACTGCCCAGGTTAATAGGCAGAGAATGAATAGTACATTGTCATTGTATACCAAGTCTGACTGAGGAAATATTGAGTCTGTGTGTATTATGTACGTGTTTGAGTATGTTACTATGTTTCATACCTCTGTGAAGATGTACTATTAGATCAGTGTACGTCTCTGATATCTAGGAGCCTGTAGATTCCAAAGGGTTAAAATTAAGCTTTGTTGGTAATAAATATATGTGCAGTTCATGGCTGCTCTTGAAACCAGCTCTGCATCATCTGAGAATTCATGGGAAAATATGTTCTTTTCATCTCTAAAGCTAGAGTTCATTTTATGTGGAAGCCTTTCAGAATTGTTTAATATAAAATGTGTAGGTGGTGCTTTGCCTAAATAAAATCCATATTAGGACAGGATAATAACTGATGTAAAATGAACCTCTTCCTTCCAGAATAATTTTTTTTTGCAAATAGAGCAGCAACTAATAGAAATCATATCATATACACAGCATAATCTCAACAGGAAGACATATTTCAGAAAGGAGTGTATGTGCAAGCACATTGCGAGTATTATCTTGATGACACAGAATTCATGTTGCTGAAGAATTGCTCTGAAAAATTTAAATGATTTTAAATTTAAAAAACAGTCCTTTGCCTTCATCAGTCCCCAGGAACCTGCCTGGATAATCATGTTGCATTAACAGATGTTTACCTAGAAATGCATGCTTATATTTTGAAAAAGCAAAAGGTTCCCATTAGGTTCTTTATTTAAAGATTGAAACATGTTATGGCTGCTCTGTTGGTGCCAGGTGAAGTTACAATTTCACAAGCACTCACTGCTTCAGAACTGGCATATTGCTTTTGACAGTGGTGACATTCACTTGTAAGTGTCTGTAGCTGAGCAAGAGCAAACAGGGTTTCAGCTTCAAGAAATCAGTATGTTATTTATGTGTTTGATAAAAGAGCAGTGACATCTCTCACTCATGCGTGTTGCACACAGATGCTAACACAACATGCTTTTGATGATGCCATTCACAGCAGGGCAGTAATTGAGTCATTCAGCCTCTGTGCCTTAGTTTCCCTATCTGTAAAAGGAGGAGGGCACTTGTCCAACAGAGGTGTTGTGAAGATACTGTATGTGTAGAAGCTAAAATAATGGGCGGGGGAAAGGGGTGTAAGAGTTAATTATAACTGTTAGCCTGAATAGCACTATTAAAAATCTTGCCAAAATATATTAAAACAAATATCTTATTTTGTTCAGAAGGATTTAGAGAGCTGCTAAGGTTTTTTAGGAAGACAGGAAAGCATAAGAAGAGAGGCACTTGTACATTGTGGTAAAGTCACCACCTTTCCATAAAAGCTCCCAGTAGTTGCCTGGGTCAGGGAAACAAAACAATACCATGCTAATTGAATAGAAAAAAATATTAGATGGGAACATTATGTAAAAAGAAGTTAGACTTGTCTTCTTGTGAGTTAGGCCTACTTTGTGAAATTCACCCACTGAGAAAAGGCTTCTGCTGGGCCCACTCTCCACATAATTACTCCACTGCTTCACAAGGATTGCTTGTGATTAAGGCATTAGCTTAAGACAGAGGACAGCATACAGTTCCCACAGGAAAAACTTTATTTCTAACACTAGTGCAGATTCTGTATGAGACCCTAAGCAAGTCAGTCAGAGCTAACTCTATAAAGGGGGATTAAGTTCAGCTAATGGATAAAAGATGGTACCTCCTTCTGTGTTCTGGATAGCCCCAATCCAGCAGGTATGTTCTACGGTGAGATAGGTGGAGCAATACCTAGATTGTGCTATAGTGCATCACACATTCAGCACCTCTAATCTGATCACTAAGAAATGTTCTTATGGGAGAAACTAGGAAAAAGGAAGGGGTCCAGAAAAGTATCTAGGAAAAGGAAGGAAATAGAAATCCCAAAACCTAACGAGTAATCCATAGAGGCAAAGAAGAACAACATAACTTATGTTCATTGATAGGCCACAGAACAAATAAAAATAGAGTCTTTACCTCAAGTATTTTACCCAGCAAGATTTACACAAGAATTTGGGGAGCTAAACTATTGATGGTTCAATCAATGTCTATTGATGGTTCATTTGAAGGAAATAATTATGGGCCTGATTTTGATCTCAGATAATCAGTGTTAATCAAGGCAATGTGTGATGTTACACACCACATAAAACCATTATGGCCAAGTACAGACAGCCAAAAAGCCTGAGGCTGAATTGATTTAGTCTTTGCAGATTAGTCTAAAATGCAGAGATTAAATTGAAACAGAAGTGAACAGACATTTACCTTTGATTCAGGAAATGAAGCCACATTGCGTACAGTGGCTCAGGCCATAAGCTGGGGATGCTACAAAACAACTCTCTGGCACGTATCCAGCATGATCTGTATGTTTGCTTCCTCTTCCTGCTGCCCCCAAGGTCTCTGGGATTTGCAGTCCAGAATTACAACAGCAGGACTCTGCAAGGTTGCTCAGAGTGCCTCTGGGCTTTGTAGTCTACAGTCACAGCTGGCAATAAGCATGAGCAGAGGAAGGGGTGTTTAACACCCCCACCCTGGCCCCAGCCAGGATTTACCAGCAGTCTCCACCTTCCCTCTCCCCCTGCAGACTGGGCTGCATCCCCAGCTGGACTTGCCCTCCCCCACCCTCTTTTCAGCCAACCCCCATTGCTCCAGCTAGGGAGAAGAGGGGCAGGGCCAACCCTGCTCTCTGGAGCACACAGCTCAGCCCAGCCCTGCCCTGGGCTGCAAAGCATGCTGGGATACTGGAGGACCCTGATTTAACTTGAACCAGGAAGGGGTCTGGGACAGAACTTTCAGAAACCAGTTTGACCCAACTCAGGTAAGTCTGATACTACATTCAATGAGGTTTATCTTAAACCTGTTTCAGACATTTTGAAACTGGTTTATGTGCAGTGAACTTCTGGTCTTTTACAGGTTTAAACCAATTTGACTAGGGACAGACATTACACATAAACCAGTTTAAGTGATCAAAAACTGGTTTAAACCTGTAACAGAACAGACTCTCAGTGCACATAAACCAGTATGAAAATGGCTGAAACCAGTTTAAGATAAACCTGGTTGAATGTAGTATCAGAATTAACTGATTTGGCCCAAACTGGTTTATAAGGTGTGCAAAACAGCACCATTTAATTTTAATGTCCATTTCACCATTTCAAAGGGACAGTGTTTTCTTTTGTTGTTTCATTTTGTTTTGAAACACTGTTCCATTTTGTTTAACCAAACCTGTTTCACTGTTTCGACATTTCACCCATAGGTCATAATGGGGAATCATGACAATGCCTAAAACTTTGTCATTGCTTGCCTGATTTGGATGAAAATTGTAGGGATGGTAGCCCCTTCTGAGGGCATGAAGCCTGCCAAGTTTCAAGGAGATAGGTGCACAGGCTTCTGGGAAATGGCACCTCAAACTGTTGAAAGCAAAACTCGTGACACTTGCCAGCAGAGGCAGCCTCCTGTCATCCAGCATGCAGATATGGGGGCTGTGGGGCTGTGCCGGACTCATCCCAGGGTACAGGCCTCCAGATCTGTATGTCGGATGATAGGAGGCTGCCACTACCACCTGGGACTGGCACTGAAGCCAAGTAAGCCTGGCTCCAAAATAAAATGTTTCAAAACTTTCAAAACATTTCAAGTGCCCTCTGTTTGTTTCGAAGGTGTTCCAAAGCCTTTTGTTTCATTTTGATTTTGCTGTTTTGAGCTCAAAACATGTGGAAACAGCTTCAAAACAAAACACCCGGCGAAATTCACACAGCCCTACTAGTTTATGCAATGTCTGTCCCAGACCCCTTGCTAGTTTAAGACAAACTAGACTCCCCCAGCATCCCAGCATGCTCTCTGGGCTGTGTGGGACTCTCTGCTTGCTACTGAAGCAGGGATCTCCTCCTCCCTCCCTCCTATCTCCCACAGCATGGACCCCAGCCCCACAGACCCTGGGCATGTGGTATGCTAGCTAAGCCGAGAGATGTCTGTGTGCATGTCTCCAATTTCACTAGGACAGGCAGACAGAACAGTAACTGCTTAGGGCATTTTGGAGCTAATCAACAGGTCAGCTGGTAAGCTGTTTAAGAAGAGTTTGAACTAATGGAGAGAGGCTATTGTTTTGCTGATGGGACAATAAAAACTGTTATCAGCTCCCTGCTGGATTGCTTGCCTGTCAATTTGCTGCAGACAGTATAAAGAACCAGGGAGAGGGATATTGAAAAGCTCTATATCATCAATTAATTCATGCTTTCCCCCCAACCCCTTGCCTCAGAGTGCTAGCAGGGGGCTGGCAACATTCCTGCCCCTTGAGCAGCCAGTGGGGAAAAGCCTGGGATGGTGCAGCCAGACCTCCCTAATCAAAGGTCCTGCTGGGGCTTGGCCAACCCACCCCTGGCTCAGCGCTCTGGAGGGCAAGGGAGGGCTGCTCTAGCACCCCACCCCCACCCCCAGCTTCTAGCCTGAGCCACTTCAGGCATGTGTCTGAATTTTCTCAGTCCATAGAGAATATCTGTCTAGTTACAAATTGGTTCAACCTAGTCAGGTTAGACTAACCTGCAAAGATTGAATCAATTCAGGCTCAGGGTTTTTGAATGTCTATCCCTAGCCTTTCTGATCACTTAAACTGGTTTATGTGTAACTTCTATCCCTAGCCCATGAGCTTAAATGATATTTAGCTTCATTTGCTAGTGGTAGAGATCCAGCTTCTCCTCTTGCATCCATTTTGACCACTGACACTCCCTGTGGGTATATCTGACTATCCTGGTACAATGCACCATTCCCTATTATTGAATCTACAACAAACTGCTGTAGGTTATTCATTGATTGAGTGTTTAAGTGTATTCTTTAG